CCACCAAGCGACCTGTCTATCCGCCTGCGGACCAGCTGACTTGCCTATGCGACCGCAGACCAACCGACCTACTTTATCAGACCGCAGACCATCAGAAATGTCTGTCCGACCTTCTGACCCATCAGACCTGTCTGTCCGAACGCTAACCATCCGACCGAGGACCAACCTACCAGATCAACCGACCGAGGACCTTCCGACTTGCCTATCCGACCGCTAACCAACCGACCTGATCATCCGACCGAGGACCAACCGACCAGACCAACCGACCGAGGACCTTCCAACCTGCCTATCCGACCGCTAACCAACCTACCTGACCATCCGACCAACCGACCTGACCAACCGACCTGAGCGCAAATTTTTCTCCTTTTCCACCACCCGACTTTGTGTCTAACTTCCTTTAAGATCCTGCTATCCTTATTTTTATTATTATTATTATTTTTTGTGCGTAACAATTATCAAAGTTGAAATATCCTTGCTATTTTTGACATTTCAAAACTCAAAGAGATGCAGGGTCACCCTTCTTATCTCAGTCTATCTGCCTGCGGACCAGCTGACTTGCCTATCCGATCGCAGACCAGCCGACCTACTTTATCCGACCGCAGACCATGAGACCTGTTTGTCCGACCGCTAACCATCCGACCGAGGACCAACCGACCAAGGACCTTCCGACCTGCCTATCCCACCGCTAACCAACCGACCTGATCATCCGACCGAGGACCTTCCGACCTGCCTATCCGACCGCTAACCAACCCACCTGACCATCCGACCAACCCACCTGACCAACCGACTTAAGCACAAATTTTTCTCCTTTTTCACCCGACTTCATGTCTAACTTCCTTTAAGATCCTGCTATCCTTATTTTTATTTTTATTATTATTTTTTGTGCGTAACAATTATCAGAGTTAAAATATCCTTGCTATTTTTGACATTTCAAAACTCATAAAGAGATGCAGGGTCACCCTTCTTATCTCAATCTATCCGTCTGCGGACTAGCCGACCTACTTTATCCGACCGCAGACCAGCCGACCTACTTTATCCGACCGCAGATCATCAGACCTGTCTATCCGACCGCTAACCATCCGACCGAGGACCAACCGACCGAGGACCTTCCGACCTGCCTATCCCACCGCTAACCAACCGACTAGACCAACCGACCGAGGACTTTCCAACTTGCCTATCCGACCGCTAACCAACCCACCTGACCATCCGACCAACCGACCTGAGCGCAAATTTTTCTCCATTTCCACCAGACTTTGTATCTAACTTCCTTTAAGATCCTGCTATCCTTATTTTTATTATTATTATTATTATTTGTGCGTAACAATTATCAAAGTTGAAATATCTTTGCTATTTTTAACATTTCAAAACTCATAAAGAGATGCAGGGTCACCCTTCTTATCTCAATCTATCCGCCTGCGGACCAGCTGACTTGCCTATCCGACCGCAGACTAGCTGACCTATTTTATCCGACCGCAGACCATCAAACCTGTCTGTCCGACCTGCTGAACATCAGACCTGTCTGTCCGACCACTAACCATCCGACCAGACCAACCGATCGAGGACCTTCCGACCTGTCTATCCCACCGCTAACCAACCGACCGAGGACCAACCGACCAGACCAACCGACCGAGGACCTTCCGACCTGCCTATCCGACAGCTAACCAACCCACCTGACCAACCGACCAGACCAACCGACTTGAGCGCAAATAATTCGATTGTATTTTTGTTTTACAGTTTATATTTCAAATAAATAATGTTTCACTACATTACATTATAGAATAGTCGCGCGGTATACCGCGCAAGAGCGTGTTCTAGTATATATATATAGGGTAAACTGTTTTCTTAGTCCCGTAATTGGACTCATTTATCATTTTAGTCCCGTAAGTGGAGCATGTCGCAAACTAGTCCCATAAGTGAAAATTTTTTGTTGTTTTAGTCCTCCGGCATCGAAAACGCCCGCGTGACTCGCCGGAGGTGACGTGTCCACCAGGTCAGCGACACCTGGCGCTGACCTGGCTGACACGTTGATTATTTTATTTTATTTTTTATTTTTTAAATTTTTTTTAAAATTTAATTTTAATTTATTTATATATTTTTTATTTTTTTAATTTGATTTAATTTAAAAAAATAAAAAAAAATTGAAAAAAAATAAATAAATCCACGTGTCCGTCAGGTGTCGCTGACCTGGCGGGACACCTGGCGGACACGTCACCTCCAGCGAGCCACGCGATTGTCTCCAGCGCCGGAGGACTAAAACAGCGAAAATTTTTCACTTATGGAACTAGTTTGCGACAGGCTCCACTTACGGGACTAAAATGATAAGGGGGTCCAGTTACGGGACTAAAAAAACAGTTTACCCATATATTTTATTTTAATTATAATTTAAATAATAATTGATTTTATAAAAGAAAATGAAATTATATTTTCTTTGAAATCAAATTAAATGAAATATTCCCTCCGTCCATTGAAAGATTGTCATTTTTCATTTTTGTCAGTTTCAAACAAGGTTACCATTTTATAATTTAATAATTATACTATCTACCTAACACAATAAAAAACCTTTCTAATTTACACTATATTACACAAATGTCATTACTTTTATATTACACAATACTAATAGGGGTATTTTCGTCTTTTTTTTACAACTCCTTATAATACTAATATTCAAAAATCTACGTACAAAAAGTAAACGGCAACATTGCACCGAGACGGAGGGAGTAGCAAAATTTGATTTTAAAATCAAAACCTAACAAACTCAACAAATCTAGACAAATCCCAATATAGGGATGTCAAATGGAGCGGGTTAGCCCCGGACCTATCCCGGACCCGTTTTTAATGGAGCGGGTTTGGATTTAAATAATATATTTCGGGACGGATTATGGATTTAAAATTTTAAACCCGGCTGAATTCAGAGCGGGTTACGAGTTTTACTAAGAGCACACTAGCCAATAACAATAAATATAAGTATTTGTGTCATTTGAAACAATTGGAAATAATAAATACGTTTTCATTATTTAGTAAATACCCCTTCCCTCGTCGAAAATTACTATACTTTCTTAGTTTCAATAAAAGTGTTCAAATTAACACGTGAATTTTAAGAAAAATATACGTGTATATATATATATATATATAATGAGTAAATAATTTAAAAATATATTAAAAAAAATAATTATTATTATGAAATTTAGATAATTAAATAATTTAATTAATATTAAAAACTTATAAATTATAAAATTTAAAATATAATTAAAATATACAATTATTTTTTAAAAAATAAATTATATAAAATATACAAAAATAAAAAAATAAACATTTTATATAAAACGAATAAAATATCGTTTAGTTGGTCACAAATTTTAGTACAACATGTAGCAGTAGTAATTTTTTCTTTTTATAATAAAAGATAATATTTTTTACTAAAAATGATAAACTTTTAAATTTTTTTATGACAGTTGAAAAAAAAAAAAATCTAAATTGGATTACGGGATGATATAAATATTATGATATTAGTAAACTATTTAATCATTTTAAGTAAAAAGAATAAGATATCATTTTTAATATGAGCGCAGTAAATTAACACACTTGGGGTGTGTTTGTTTGGAGTTTGGATTTTGAGTTGTGATTTAAATAGTAAAATTTTTAAATTTGAATCATTGTATGATATGACATAAATAGATATTGATGTGATGTTTTGAATATGAAATTGATTTTTAGTATAATACAAAAAATAAAAATAAGTGTTTAATTTGATATTTTTGGAGAAAAAAAAGGAATGAATAGTATGATTAAAATCCAATCGCCCAACATATATTGTATTATATAAAAACAATGTGTGAATTATATATGTATTATACTTATATATTTTTTTTTATTTACTTTTTACGCATAGATTTTTTAATATTGGTATTATAATAATTTATAGTGAAAAAGACAAAAAATAACCTTATTAGATTGTGTGATATAAAAGTAATAATATTTGTGTAATATATTAAAAATTGTAAGAATATTAATTATGTTCGATAGATATTACAATTATTAAAGTAGAAAATTATATCCTTATTTTGGGATATATAAAAATAAAAAATGATATTATTCTTATTAATCGGGAAAAATATTAAGATATGCATATATAATTATATATACTGTTTTCTTATGTTGATGTATTGAACACAGTAACAAAACATTTTCAATAGACATCATTTATTAGTTAAGGCCTTAGAAACTATCCGTCCCAATAAAATAATCTTGTTTATCATTTTTATCCGTCCTAAAATAATAGTCTCATTTCTATAAATAATCATATCACCATAAAACTATCCCTATTTTTTCATTATTATTACGCAATTACCACTACTTTTTACACTAATATATTTACAAAGATAAAAAAATTATTTATCAATACTTTTTACCGACCACCAATATAATATAAATATTTTTTAAATATCATGTCAAACGCAATAAGACTATACTTTTGGGACGAATGAAATATTAAATACTGTATTTAATTTTATATAACTTCGTATCAAATACTAAATTTTTATTATTTAAAATTTTTCAATAATCTAAAATTTCCACGGGGTGTGTTTGTTTGGGAGTTTGGATTTTGAATTGAAATTTAAATAGTAAAAATTTTGTATTTAAATAGTTGTATGATATAATATAAATAGGTGTTAATGTGATATTTTGAATATAAATTGATTTTTAATATAATATAAAAAATAAAAAATAAGTGTTTTGATTGATATTTTTGAGAAAAAAAAAAAGAGATGAATAGTGAATTGGAAATTCAATCCCCCGAACAAACACACCCAAAAGTATCTTGTCTAAAAGGAATCTTAAGTCTTTACACGCCTTCATCGTATTTACCTAATATAATATATATATATATATTTTTAATTAAAAATGCAATAGTAAATATACTTACACATAATTGAAAACGTAGACAAATGAAATAATTTAATTGCGAAATAAATAATGCTAAAAATGGGCATCAAAATCCAGACAGACAAAACAAACACATCATTTTCTTACCTACCAAAATCTCTCTTATTACACTCACACAGCCAATTGAAGAACACAAGAACACAACTCAAATTACAGCAGATTTATCAACGGAAAATTATTGCAGCAAATCAACAAAATTGCATTGTTTCCAAAATCAAACACAATCTGATCATAGTTTCGATCTCACGATCCAAAGCTACCAAAAAGGACAGAGGATTAAAGAAGAAGAACACCTGATGGAGCACAATTCAGACAAGGAAAGAATCAGATGTACTAAAATCAAAAGAATCGAATGAAAATTGCATTTGCATATATGTATGTAGTGAGATTTTTCAGTCAATCTTCATCAATTAATCCGATTTGCTTCCAGATTGCATTTCTTACACGGCTCAGATCCCTACCTTTTAGTGTCCGCCCGATCCCTTCGTGCACCGAAAACGACGCCGTTCTGGTCCGCGCCAAATACTCGTGAGGGGGCAAACGGTAATTTCCATCCTCCTCTTCGTCCTCCTCGTCGTCAGTGAAGAAATCGCCGGCGCCGTTGCTCCGGTACTCATCGCCGAGGATTTTCGACCAGTCCGGGATGTTAACCGGCAACGACTTCGGTCCGACCGGCGGAGAGCGGTCGGCGGTTTTCCTAGCCGGCTTCCAGACCGGACGGTTGGGTGAGAAATTGGCGCGGTTCAGGTGCTTCGACTTGTTCGGATCCGGTTTTCCTGAAACGGCGTCGTTTGTGCTCCAGATCTCGGACTCGTCGAACTCCGCGCCGTCGTGGAGCGCCGCCGTGGTTGGGGCGGCGCCTTCGCCGCCGGTGAGGTAGCGGTGGTGGTTCTTCCTGGCAGCCATCGGAGGAATTTCGATTGAAAGTGTGAAAATTGGGGAAAGGGTTTTGGAAAGGGTGAAATGATGAGATATTTATAGCGTCGTCAGTAACGGATAAGCTTTGAAATGTGGGGACTCATTAATTTATAGTATTTTTTCAAATTAGTAATTTCTATGTAATCGTTTATTTAATTTAAGTAATATGTTATTAGGTTATATTTATCTGTAATTTGGTGCTCTTATAATTTATTTATTTTATATTTTCTTCTCAACTTTTAGAGTTCTAATTTTTTTAATAATAAAAAACAAATATTTAATTTAATTTAATTAGGTAAGTAATTCAAAGTCTAGATATAATAAAAGTCCACTGTCAAAGCCTAACTAATGCAGACACGTTTTCGCGACTTCGGATACGTATAGCTTCCGTACGGGTAACTTACGAATAGTTATCTTAATATATTACGTTCAATTAAGAAATATATTTAAATATATATATTATGAAAGTGTTGTATTATTTTTTATTTAATTTTGATTTAAATAATATTTTGATGTAATTGTACAGACAGAATGAAAATAATTTTTTATTATTAATATTATGTCAATTGAATAATTTTAATTTTGATTTGGAGCTATTATTTTAAAAACAAAAAACAAAAATAGATAGGTTGTATTCTAAATATACTTTGAAAAATATGTCAATTTCTTTGGATTAAATTATTTACTAATTAACATTATGAAATAATATTGAAAGTCTAAAAAATGATTTTAAAAAAATAATATAATATTTTAAAATGTGTGTTGTAGGTTAATTAGTTAACACAATATTAATAACACATAGAATATAATTTTACAGCATATATTTAAATTGATAATATAAGGTAGTTTAACATAATATTAATATATTACGACAGTATATAACACTAGTCTACACAATATATTAAATATGAAATTATATTTAAGCAAGTAGAAGTAAAAATTAGGGTAAAATTCATAATTATGTAAGAAACACGTAAATTTACTATTTACTAAATTTTACTCCGTATTTCACTAAATTTTATTTTGAAAGAATATTATTTTGATATGATATACTCATTCATTTCAGAACTATAGTCTTAGTTGGATTGAACACAGAATTTAAGAAATATTAATATAGTTGGTAAAAAAATATGGATAAAAGACTTTTTTGTCTCTGTGAGTGTATTAGTGTAAAAAGTAGTAGCAATTGTGTAATAAAAATTAAAAAATAAAAATAATTTTATAGTGATATGATTATTTATAAAAATAAGACTATTATTTTGTGGTAAACAAGATTATTATATTGGAACGGAGGGACAGAGTATATTGAAAATGGTGCGATGATTTTGATTTGAAATTAATAAAAAAAATAAAAAATAAAACCAAACCCTTAGATGTAATTCATTTTCTTCATATTTAAAAATAATATATTCAACAGTAACTATTTTTCATCTTTTCTATGCTTTTTCAACTCCAGTTAATTATTAATTATCTATTATCGTTTGCACCGTTTGTTGGCGTGTTGGTGAGATTTGAATTTTAAATTTGATAATTATATTCGTAGTTGGTAAAAAGTATGGATAAAAGATTTTTGTCATTGTGAGTGTATTATTGTAAAAAGTAGTGGCAATTGTGTAATAAAAATAAAAAAGTAGGGATAGTTTTATGGTGATATGGTTATTTATGAAAATAAAATTATTATTTTGGAACGAAAAAAATGATAAACAATACTATTGTATTGGAACGGAGGGAGTATAATATTTATAAAAAAAATAATATTTCATAGGTCTCATAGAAAAAGTACAATTTTTTTTTTATATCCATCTTAAATAAATTAATTTATTAAATATATTCATTATTTTGTGTTATCTATACAATTTAATATTTTTCATATAATTTGGGTGTATTACTTTAGATACAATAATTTAGGTGAAGTATAATTAATAAGTAATTAAAAAGTGTATTGGTAAAAATAATTATTGTATAGTAAAAATAATTATATATTAAGATTAAAATAACTAAATAATTTAATTAAAATTAAAAATATATATAAATTTTAAATTTTAAAAATATTATTAAAATTTATAATTATAATTATAAAAATAAAAAATATGGACAAATTATATGATAAGGAAAGAGTATATCTTACATAATAAAAAAAATATTTTTTAAAACTATTTTAAACAAACATAACTAAAGTATGAAAATTTCTTTAAGGTGACTGAGATGTGTGTCATTGTCTAAGGGACACGTGGACGAATAAATTAAAAGGAAAATGGGTCCCACGCGCCAGGTGGCGTACGGTTATTCTTGTCATACTCATCATCCACTCAGATTTATTCGCTTAAATAAGGTAACTGGATGTATGTTTTTTTTCAAAATTTTTTTTAAATTTTATTATTTCAACTCAGTATTGAAAAAAAAAATATTTTTTTTTATAAAATATATTATTAAATATTATTTTTATATTAAATTTAAATTTATTCAAATTTATCAAAAAAAAAATACTTTATGTAAGCATTTCTCTTGGTATTTTTTTTTTAATGTATATTTATTTTTATTATAAATAAAAAGTGACTTTAATGATTTTATATATATATATAAACTTTATATAAAGTTTTTGAAAAGAAGAATAAAAGAAATAGTATATTATAGAAAATAAAAATTAATAAAAAAAATATAATATTATGGTATATTTGTTCATTTTAAATTATTTTGATTAATAAAAACAATTTTTACAACAGCCAAACAAGTTTTTTTTTTTTTTGATACATATATCATAGTTAACAAACACAAATTAAGCTTTTTGCTTTTCAGGGTTGATTTCTAATACTCTATCTGTCTCATAATTAGGTATCCATTTGTTTTTTCAAGTAGTTTTAAAAATATTAGTATTATATTAGGATATAGTAGGAATAAAATAGAAATGATTAAAATAACCTTATTAGTAGGGTGCGATATAAAGGTAATAAAATCTGTCTAATATATTGTAAGTTGCAAGGATATTTGTAATGTCAGGTACATAGTACAATTACTAAAAAAAGAATGAATATTTTGTTATGAGACGAATTAAAATAGAAAAAATTGATAATTTTTACAGGACGGAGGGAGTACTATTACCTATATATATATATTAACAATCAAATTAAATATTTATTCTCATCGTTTTCAAATGAATTGTTTTTTTTTTTTTATGTGTAGTATAAAAAATTGCGTTGATAATATAAAAAATAATATTTTGTATTGAATGGTTAACTTTTGTGTGTAGATAATATATACACCCTCCATCCTAATACAATAGTCATGTTTACCATTTTTGTCCGTTCCAAAACAAGTCTCATTTTCATAAATAATCATATCAGTATAACACTACTATTACTTTTTTATTATTATTACACAATTGCCACTATTTTCTATACTAATATACTCACAAGAGCAAAAAAGTCTTTTATCCGTATTTTTTACCTACTACCAATATAATATCAGTATTCCTTAAATCTCATGTCAAACACAATTTAAACTATAATTTTGGGACAGAGGAAGTATTATATTAATGTGTATCTATATTTGTATATTTTAATAATATTTATGGAGAATTATTTATTGAGAAATGCTGAATGAACATACTGATTATATCAAATACTTCTTCCGTCCAACTACAAAGTATACGTATTTTTATTTTGGGACGTCCAATTACAAAGTAACTATTTCATTAAATACCCTATTTTTTTCCACAAATACTCTTACTTTACATCGCATTATTACTTTTATACCAAAAAGTAAGGGTAAAAATGTCATTACACAACTTTTACTTATCCACTATAATTAAATTACTATTATTTCTTAAATTTCGCGCCAAAAGTAAATGTATACTTATTGTTTGGATGGAGGGAGTATTATTTCTATTTAGGGTTGTGTTTGTTTCGAGAATTGAATTTTGGATTGAGATTTGAATAATAAAATTTTTGAATATGAATAGTTGTATGATGTGATATAAATAGGGGTTGATGTGTTGTTTTGAATGTAAAATTGATTTTTAGTATAATATAAAAAATAAAAAATAGGTGTTTAATTTGATATTTTTTTGAAGAAAAAATTGAATGAAACAGTAAGATTTGGAGAAAATCCCCAAAACAAACAAACCCTAATATCAAATTCAAATTTGAAAGTGACCTAAAACAACTAAGCCATGCTCAATTCAATTCACCGGCAACTTTGATGCCCAAGTACAAATGATGATAGCCGAATAAAAAGATAGTGTCAATCAAATATAAATATATATTTTTTAAAATAAAATAATGAATACAAAAAAAAAAACCCAAAAAATAAGTCCAAGATAAGAAAAGTGCAAATAATAATAAGACAAAAAAGAAAAAAAAAAAAAAAAACACAAGAAATATAAATAAGTCTTGAAAAGAATTGACAAAAATATATTCTTAAAAAGTAGTAATATTATAAGGTCTTTAGAATAGTAATCCTTTATTATTCTCAATGATTCAATTCATGCACGTACACGTGAATGATAAAATAAATAAATAATTATGTAATTATTAAAAAGAAAAAAAGAAATCGGACACAAAAAATAAACAAATAAATAAAGGAAAAAAATTATTTTTTGTCCCAATATAACCAAAATTCATCAATTTTGGCCCAAATATAAATTTTTTATCAATTTTGGTTTCAATATAACCAAAACTCATCTTTTTTGTCATAATATAATCAAACATTATATTTTTTTGTCCCACCGTCAACAAACCAACGGAAAATGCTAACATGGACTTCCAAGATTGTGCAATTTCTTCGAATATAAATATAAGATTTGGTTTCTTTTCACGTCAATATTTTCCGTCGGTTTGTTGACGGTGGGACCAAAAAAAATAAGATTTGATTATATTGTAACAAAAAATGGTGAGTTTTGCTTATATTTGGACTAAAATTGATAAAACTTTTATATAGGGACCAAGAATGATGAATTTTTGTTATATTGAGACAAAAAATGATGAGTTTTGGTTATATTGAGACTAAAATTGATAAAATTTTTATATTGAGACCAAAATTGATAAATATTAGTTAT